CCCTCTCGGATATTGCGCGGGTCCCCCTTCCTTTTGGCGCGCTCGCCTTTTTAAACAGGCTGCATCTGCATGCCCCCTGCCAATCAGCAGGGCGCCGACCCCGCCACTATCAGGCCGCGCCCATCGCCCCCCCCCCCAATGCCATGATCATGACTTGCTCCTACGTTTGGCGTTTGGTCATTTTTCTTTCTTTTCTTTATCACATGCCCCCTTGACCAATGCCAATCTCGAACATGTTTAGGCTCAAGAACTCCCCTTCCTATATATATATATACAAAGCCAAAATACAACATCTAATACAAATACATAATAAAACATTAAACAATGATATCAAGGGTAAGTCCAACTGTGTCTGTCCGGATGCAGCACGACGTTTTTGCTGGGGCCGTCGCCAATAGATTCACTAGACGTTTGCAAGGGAGACAAAATAGGTGTTCGGGTACTAGCCGAGTTTAAGTACAACACCGGGAGCTGGAGTCGGGCGCTTACTAGTAGCTGTGGGAATGGTTAGTCACACTGTTTCTTGGGATGAGTAACATGGCTTCCAAGGCGGACGTGGCACCGGAGTGCGTTCGTCCCATAAAGCTTTAGTGGCGTTCATGGCAGTTAGTACATCATTGTTGCACTTGGTCCAGTTCTTGAACGATCCGTTTTCCCTCAACCTTAACTGTTCCTTGTATAATCCTATCTGGCGCTCCACGACGCCATTGGACTCCGGGTGATAAGGTAGATGGTGATGCCACTGAACATTATGCTCTACCGTGAACCGTTCTAAGCCTTTGGAGTTGAAGGGTGGTCCTCCATTGGAGTGTATGAAGTGGGGCACTTGCCAATGGGCGAAAGCAAGCTGTAGAAATCCTTGAATCACGGGAGCAGTGGTCTTCCTCGTGGGGAGAACGAGGATTTGACGGGTTCCCAGGTCTACAATTACTAGCCCCTTGTTCGGTGCCTTGGCTCCTGGGAGTGGCCCGAGCAGGTCCACTTGCCACACCTTCCCTGGAGCAAAGTGCTCTGGGTCATAGACGCCCTTTTGGTGCTTGTGGTGCACCGGTTTTTCTCGCGCACAGGCAAAGCAGGCTTGGATTATTTTCTTCCACTGTTCTATGCTTGGTCCTTTGTTGCCTTGTTCCCTCCAACGAGCTTGCGCTCTTTTTGCTCCGAGGTGTCCCCAATGTTCGTGGAGCCAAGCGAGAAAGGGGTCGTCTATAATGTCAGTGACGTGTAACTGGGGTATGTCCTTTTCATCTATGGATCCTCGATGTGCCAGTAGCTGATCTATGATGACATGTACAGGGTCCGTATCAGGTTGGTGAGAGCGTGTGTGCTTGATTAAAGGGCGAACAGAGAAATGTGATAAAATGGTCTTGACATCGTCCCAGAGGGTTGTGTGTTCTGTAACTTGTGCCTTTCTGGTAACAATCCTGTATATATATTCTGAGTCTACAGCTATGACAGGTACCAGAAGCGTCCCGTCGTGGTGACGGTAAGCGTGTTCAAGAGCTAGTTGAAAACCTCGTAGTTCAGATGCTTGAACTGACTCTCCTGGATGGGACGTTTTGAGCTCATAGTTGTGACAAGGGTCACAATAATATCCATATCCTCTGCCATCACGGGATGTACCATCTGAAGCTATCCATGCCGGGGATGTGGTCCCATACAATTGCAGTACAATGGGATCATCCTCTTCAGCGATCGGAATTAGTTCTCCGTCAGCGACTTGCCATGCCGACCAGTGATACTGGTAACGAAGGACCAGGGCGCTCCAAGTTTTCTCCGTGCCCTGATACTCTGGGTGGATTCTGCTAGGATTAAGCAATCCTAGTGTGGTGCCGCCGGGTGCAACAAGTACACCTGGGCTCGCCACGAGGTGTTCCCCTAGTTGAGCCGCGAGCATAACCTTCCCTAGACAACCATACCGATGTTGGTGGCTTTTGAGTGTGCGGTGACCAGTGTACGCGAGTTCCCCCTGTTCGGTGTCATTGGCTGTAAACCAGATATGCTCCATGGTGTAGCCTACATGAATTGTCAGGAGACTGCCGGCAGGGGGTGCGATCAGATGCATCTTTTTAACCTCTGTCATAACCTTTTCCAATGTGGCTGGGTCATGCTCACTCCATGGGACTCTGCGTCGTGTTTTCTTGCGAATTTGGTGTTGCAGGCAGTGGATAACTTTTAAATGTGATGGCATCATAAAATTGCGGAACCAGTTTAACTGGCCTAGCAGGCCTTGAAAGTCCGCCTGCGTGGTCGGCCAAGGTGAGGACAACTCAGGGGTAGCATTGTGTGCTGTCCCTGATTGCCATTGTCCTGTGAATCGTGTCCCCAAAAACTTAATGTCTGAGGATGGCTCGCTCATGGGCTTAGCCAGGTTTACTGTCCATCCTTGATTGCTCATGTGGTCCTTTAGGTCCGCAGTGGTGGCGCGGACCGTGGCACGGTCATGCCCCATGATGACAATATCGTCGACATACGTCCAGATGTGAACGTCTGTGGTCTTTGGGCGGGGACAAACAAAGCTGTCAATCGTCCCATTCATCGCTGTGACTGCTAGGGCTGGTGCGTTGCGATAACCTTGTGGACAAACCTTCCAGGAAAACATTCGTCTGCCTACACACATATTAAGGATCCCATACGGGTCATGTATAGGGATCGAATAAAACATGTCCTTTAAGTCTAATGTGGTGGCAAACCATTCTCTGCCCCTCTGTATTTCGGTCATGCCATCGAGGATGTCTGAGACGGTTTGTGCGGCGGGCATTTGGAGCGGTTTACAGCGACGATTCGCTTGTCGGTAGTCCATCACTAGACGAGTTTCCGTCGGCTTTCCTGGTTTAGGAATTCCCCATCCGGCCGAAAGGTAGGTGGAAGATTTTATGGGCTGAACGCACTTTCGCTTGAACAAGTCAGCCAAGAGGTTTCGGATTTGGGACTGCAGGTCAGTGCGTGTCGGGATTGGCTGGTACCACCAGGGTGTAGGGTTTGCTAGCGCTGGCTGGTGTTTTTCGCCTGATGTCACAGTCAATGGGAGTGCTAGATATATGGCATTCTTCAAGGCCAGCGCCTTTATTGCGGGGATGCCCAAGATGTTTATTCCCGCTAAGACTCCATGCAGCACCCTTTTGTTGATCCAAAACTTGACTGCGGGCGCAGATGTCATGACGTTTAGCCCTTGTACAAAGATGACTTTGGATGTCTTAACATGGAGCGTTTCGGATCTCAACACGTTTACTTGGGCTCCCGTGTCTAGCAAAATAGGGTTAGAATCTGCAGTTGTGCTCACATCATAAGTTGCGTACGGGCGTTCGTCATTAGTGGGTCGGCCGTCGTCACCCGTATCGACGGCCGCTACTCGTTTTTTTCTTTGTCTGGCTCCTGCTCTTTAAGCTTAAAGCCTAGGTTCAGCGCCAGTATTTTTTGCCCCTCATCCCCTAACCCACGAAGCTGATTCTTTGTCAGATCGCTTTTGCTTAGCAGAAAGCTAAACATAGCACGTTCCTTAAGTGTGCGGTCTGGTGGTCGTCCACGCGGTGAGCGATCAGTTTGGGGTTTTCTAGGCGTTGCTTTCCATACTCCTACTGCCTGTACCACCGCTGGCGGGGTGGGCTTGGATTCTACTTTGCGCGCTGTGGTGAGCTTTCCCAGACTACTTAGAACGTTCCCTATCAGCCCCCCTACCAGTGGGTGTAATAACAAGCGGAACATGGGTGTATTCATACCTCCATAAACCTCAACGCAGGCCTCCACTGCTGACGCAGATACAGGAACCTTGCCAGGATCGTTACACCAGTGATGCAGCCAAATACTGTTTGCCTGGCGTGGAGTCAGGGTTAGTGGATACCGTCCGGTGTCCCAGGTTAAGTAACTGGCTCCCGGTATTGCATACAGGAGCTATGCGGGCGATGGATCATTGGGCGGATCCGCATGCCAAGCGTGAGCTCGGTTCAACAGCGCTGGGACCGCGGCAGCACACAAAGGGATTGGCCAAGCCTGATTGTGCAGTACTTCTCCACGCTTCTCCACTCCATGCGGGTTGGCGCATTAGGATAGCACACTCCTCCGGGTCTACTAAATCTGACCCGTGCTCTAATATCAGTCATCCTAGCCATATTGCCAGTGTTTCACCCGGATTTAGTCGGGTGTCTCTTGTCAGCTCTTGGAGTTCCCCTCTGGTGCGCGTACGGAAGGTAGTGAGGGTGTGGGTTCCCGCGCCATCGATGACAGTTTTCACTAAGGCTACAGGGTTTGCATGCAGAACGGGTGCGCCTGCGTCGGTGGGGAGGACGGAACATAGCTCCGGCGGGATGTTGTACGGAGGTGGTTCCTCGGGCGGGGCCGATGGGGTTTCTCTAACATCGGGGTTTCCCGCCCGGGATTCTTTGGCCACGTCCTCTTCTTTGCCTGCGGCGCCATCTTTAAGCAGTGGCTCGGGCTGTGCGGCACTCTGCTGCGCGGCCGTTCTAGTCAGCGTATCTATTATGCTGGCTTGGTTCGCCACGTGTTGTAGCAAGGTGGTCACCGAGCGAAACAGGATATTAATAATTTTTCCTTTATTCCACTTTTGCCCTGTCCACCCTGTGGCATCCCGTCCATCAGTCTCAAGACTCTCACGGAGTGCCGTTAGAATTTCATCTTCAGCGCCTCTGGGATTGAGATCAGGGCATTTGAATTTATCGGGAGGGATTTCGCAGCTGCTCCCCTCTTTTAGGTACTGGATGCACCTAGCGTACTCTTTTGTGGGAGTACGGTCATCTGTGCCTGTGGGCTTGACACGGCTAAGTAACGCCCCTGGTTTTTTGTCGGGCAGGTGGTAAAGAACCGCGGGACTGGAAAGGAGGCATCCTAGGGCTGCTGGGCTGAGGCTGGACACGACCCATTCTTTAAGCGGCTCCTCGCTGCCCTCGGTCGGGCAGATGGAAACATAGCCTCCCATCTTTCCGTCCTGCCCAGCTTGATGATATGCCACATGGACCCATAAATCATCAGCGTTCGTGGTCGGGGGCCGGTGATGGTTTCCCCACGGGCAATGCCTGACTAACTCGTCAACATCTCCTTCGTTCCCCCTTTGCCCCAGGGATCCTGTTCGTGATGCCATGTTCAACCTGACAATGGGTGGTTGGACCCAGATTATGCGAGCAGGCCGGGGACAAAAGGGTTTCGGGGCCTTATTCCTCCCTCTTCTGTCTCTCCTTCCGTCGACAGAAAAACACCAAGGAGGCGGTGAGATAAGTAAATACTTTACTCACAGTTTAGGCAGAAAAAAACTTCTTAACAGCTGTTTCAAGATTAAACTCGCTGATAACTCGAGAGCTCTTAAACACGTTCGGATGGTATACCCAGTCGTGATGGGGGCGTCCGGGGGGAAGGGATTTTGTGGACGCAGGACCTCCGGTGAGGGTGATCAAGCCTCTCCGATATTGCGCGGGTCCCACTTCCTTTTGGCGCGCTCGCCTTTTTAAACGGGCTGCATCTGCACGCCCCCTGCCAATCAGCATGGGCCAGGACCGCCGCTATCAGGCCGCGCCCATCGCCCCCCCCCCCATGCCATGAGCACAACTTGCTCCTACGTTTGGCGTTTGGTCATTTTTCTTTCTTTTCTTTATCACACTAAGCTCATTTGAAAGGAATCTAGAAGGAAATACAGATACATTTATGTTTAGAGAATATTACTGAGGCTGTAAAATTAAATACTCAAATACTAGGAGAGAACAGAAATATAGTAACCTGTATTGCCTTAATTCAACTTCCTTGTATGGTTTACAATACTGTTTTTAATTACATGATTGCATGTTATTTTTCTCACCCCTGCCTCATTCCACACAATAGACAGTGCTCACTTTAATGAATAGCTGTTAAATAATTCGGTTTTTTTTCATTGTTTAGTGTGTATTTCTCCTTGTGCTGTTTTCTATTCAAAACCTGCTCTAAAGATGAATTATTAAATTTCTCATTGGCTGTTCTATGATGCTTATCATTATAATATCCAGCTCTTCACAAATATTAATGAATTCATTTTCACAACACTCTTGTGAGTTGAATGGGTATTATTATCCTCATTTTAAGGATGGAAAAGGGATACACAGAACAGATTAAAGTTAAAAGTGTCTTCTAATTTTCTAGTCCCAGTTTTACTTTCCTCTGTATTGCCAGCCTGCAGGCTCTGAGGCAGACACTTGTCACGGCAAATTTTTGTCCAAAAGTATACATCTTGATAAAATTATGAAGCAAATGTAAATATATGCTTTTAAATGGGTAGTATTGGAAGCTTATTGATGTATAAATATTTAAATATATAGAATAAAATAATATGACTGTACTATATTATATCATCAACTAAACATGAATGAAAAATATTCTTATGATTATTGCTGTGCAAAGACAACATGTCAGTCTGCTTTACATATTGGGAAAAATCAATGGACTGTCTCTTGCAGGAGCAGCTTAGACACAAAAGCAGCTTTAACTTTGTGAAATTTGATGCTCAAGCAGCAGCTTGGCAAGACAAACTTGCTGAAGTTAATGAAGAGAATTTGCAGGATGCTTGGCTTTGGATAAAAGGACTTGAGGTAAAAATTAGAATGTATCAAGAAGCTTGTACTGACTAAGTTATACTTGCATCCCCTGATTCTATAACTTTTATAACTGAATATTTGATTAGTGAAATCTGTCATGAGGCATTTGGAAAGCACTGAGATTCAATGGTTAAATAACATTTGGATCTGGAAGACAGGTGTTGGCATGTCATGTCAGCCTTATTGGAGTTTGTTTGTAAGGAATTCACTATATAACAAGCAAAGCCATTTACTTTTATAATACAGCACATTAGAAATATCACTGTATGTCTCCTACTCCAGTGATTTATATATGAAATGCTGGAGATGAAAGAGTTCAGAATACTACCTAAGGATTCTGAAGCTTCAGACCAATATAAATAACACAATTTAATGTATTTAGCAAATGAGAGCAAAGCACAGGTAAATACATGGAGTGGGGGGGGATACATTGCTAAATTGTGCCTAAGAAGGTACTGATTGTTTACAGTGTAGGAAATTGAATTTTCAAAGCTTTCTCCAGTCTTTGCTGATAGATCACTGATTTGAATCGTGTGTGTGAGACAGAATCTTGCAAGATTGAGAATATCTTGAAATAGCATATATAGAGTATTAGCAATCTTTCATGCGATTAGGAATATCCCTTTTTCCATTGTTGAGTAGGGCTGGCTCAGTGGTTGACTTACTACATTTCTTTCCATGCAGTCAGTTCTCGGTCTTGGAAAAGCAGAGGGAATTGCATAAGGAGATTTGATGGCCAAACATCACATCTGTTACTGACCCTTAATATATTAAAAACAGCACATGCATTAAATCTGATAACAGAAAGCCAGCTTGAGAATAAAGTTAAAATGAACAGAAGATCACTGTGAATATTAATCAAACAGATTCTTTGATTTCCTGTCTTATTCTTGGGTCCCTTGAGCTTGCACTCAAGAGAAGGGTGATTTGTAAACAGTAACGATTCTCAAAAAACCCTCTTATACTAATGATATCATTTATATCTTAAGTAACAACAATTGATACAAGTTATAACAATTGAATGATTGTGCTATCACATCTGCTAGCAAAAACACATAAAAAGTATCGGTGGGTGCGTCTACACGTGATGCTATGTGGCTGTAGCAACACGCTATGGTGATGTAGCGTCCTTGGGCAGAAACCATGACACTGTTGCTGCATTGCCATAGTAACGCACTCCCTTGGTATAGCGTGTTGCTATGGCACATAGCGGCTAAAAATAACTGTGCGCCACTGGCATGCCACAGTATGGGCTGTTACTGTGCTGTCATTTAGTACTTCCAAAAGAAAGTACTAAATGACGGCACAGTAACAACAGTGCCATAGGGGCAGTTGTAGACATGTCTAGTGACATGTTTAGTGTAGTGCTACTTCAGAGGTTTAGAAATGGTAGAGCTTTTACTCCTAAGGTATTTTCCTGATATTCTCTGGAATTACATTCATCTGTGGACAGATATAACTTTAAACTATTTAAAAAGGTGAGGAGGGAACTTCCTGCAGGAATGTACATTTTGCTGTTCTAACTATCATATCCATCCACTTCTATACTGGTTTAGGGTATGGACAGACATAATACTTGAACTGTTTCAAACATGTCATTTACTGGTAAACAGTTCACAGTTGTCCTAGTTTAGAGGTATCTGCACATAAACTGCCAAGGGTTCTAAGTAAACCACTAAGGGTTCTAGGAAGTGCAATACTGTCAAACCCCCATGAGGGGTTTGACAGCATACCTTCCAGTGGCAAGTACTCCGGTAGTCCATTAGTCAGGGAGGAAGATTCCAATTGGCTGACGCCAAGGAAGGAATTGCAGTTGCAATTTTCTGACCCCTCTACTCACTAACATTGAGTTCAATAAAGAACATTCCTGCACATTACCAAAATCTGTGTGGTGGTACCCTCCTGCAGGTGCCCAGATATGTGTGTGTGTGGGGAGCGTCTGCCCAGACCCTTGCTTTTGGGTCCCCTAGAGCTGAGTGATCTGGGGCTGTCACAGCTTTCTTGAGAGCACTTTCCCCTAAGCCACTCTCATCAATTTTTTTCAATTCCTGGTAATGTATTCAGGGTTTGGGGCATCACTGACTGACTTGGGGATAAAAGGGTGGCCAGTTGGTTGGGGAGATGCCTGGAGCCCAGCTTCTCCCTTCCAATGGGGGCTGAGTGCTTCAGGGGTTGCCCAAGGTCTCTGGTTCTGGCTGCCGCTTTAAGGCAAATTTCTGTAGGGATGGCCATCTGGGAAGGTGCCTGGACCTCTGCTTCTGGGTCCCCAGATGTTAACAATTGCCTCTCCTTTTTAATAGTCTTGATGTGCCTCTCCTTTTTAGTAGTCTTGATGTGTGATTAATCAAGCTAACCTTTCTTAGGGCACTGTTGCTGTCTGCTAGCTACTCCTGGCCTATTTCACAGTCTTTTTAGCACGCTCTTCAGCTCTTTTCAGAATCCTAGATCTGTCCATGGAGATAAGTTTTCAGCAACAGCTAGGATTCCAGCTTTAGTTATGCAGGAAAAGGAGGGTGGTCACCTGAAGATTAGAGTCTGTCCCTGCTCTGTCATCATAACCCTGGAAATAATCTTTTTTCTTCATTCTGGCTTTAAGAACAAAGTGCATGTTATATTCGGGGGTGGGTTGTATGCAAGAAAATATGCTATATGTTAAGGGAGCAGACAGAGGTTGTAGGAGAAAGGCAACCGGTACTAGGAGTAGGAAGGTTTAATAAAACCACATCCCCTACCTTGGACCTTCTTGCCTCTATGTTGTCTCCTATTGCTTGCTTTTCCTCGTACAACTCCTACTTGTTTGACATCTCATAACATGCTTGTTTGCACAGCTGTTGAACATGGAATTAATGCAAATTATGCTACTTGACTACATGCATCTATTTTCTGACTGATGGGCACCTAATATTTATACTGTCACTGTAGAATGTTACTGTAACTGCTTCCCTAGATTAGTTATGCCATGCACTGTTTTAAAATATGAAGAATAGAGTTAACAGTCCATTTAGGAGTTTAATGGTATTTTGTGTGTGCTTTCTCTTTCTGGGGGGTCTTTAGGTTGGAAGTTCTACCAATACACTCAGTGCTCTTCAAATTGCTCTTGCTGATCGTGATGCTGAAGCCATTTATCTTCTTACGGATGGGAGGCCTGATCAGGTATTTGTGAATTAAGAAAATAGGAGTGGTGTGTTGAGTGGATGATAGTGGCAGGAAGCTAAAACAAAAGTGAATACAATGCACATGAAATCCAAGAATCTCATCAGGGTTCAGATAGAAGTGCAGATCCTAGATGTAACTTAGAAGGATTTTTGCAAAGCGTTCTGAGTTACAGTGTTACCCCAGACCAAACAGAAGTTCACTGTTAGTTCCAGGGAGGAGGGGACTTTAGCTGTGGTTTGGGAGCCTGCAGCCAGGTTCCCATAGCAATGGCCAAGGCTCTCTGCCAGTGCTCTCTGTTTTCAGAATGGGAGGGGGGAAAGGCAGAGGATGGAGGTCATTCTTGGGGTTCCCCAGCTGGTGCTGAAGGGTAGGGTGGGTGAATTGGAGTGCTCCACCTTGGGTGGGGGGGACTGCAATACACCTGCCCCACCCTCCAGGGGGGGCTGAAAACCCCCCAGACGGAACTCCCTTTGCTCCCTTCCCCCCTCCCATTTTGAATCAGAATGATTCTGAAAACAGCAACAGGGCTTTGCAGACACAAGTTACAAAAGACGCTACATTTTGTAACATCTGTATTTGATGCTTCATGTAATGAAAGGTCAGATTTTCACCCAATTTGCCATTTTTGAAGCTGTTTGCAGTTATGCACTCATGTTTGGTCACAGCTATAAACTGCTTTTTGTGGCCAGATCAGGCAAAAATTGGCACTTCTGTCTTAACCTTCAGCCTTGGCGGTTGTCTGTTATAGAGCTGATCAGTTATGCCTCTAACCTAGTGATGACATTGGTGGTAAAGCGGGGTTATGTTCTGAATTCATTTACAGCAGTTCATGTTAAGAGATATGGATTACAATTTAATCTGTAAGAAGTTTTTTAATCAGCTGGTAATTGCTAAAAGGACTAAAAGGGCATCCTAAGCTCCATATTTAGATTCTTTGTTGAAGAGTGTCCTGACCTACTGCTGATAGAACTATTCTAATTAATTAAATGGAGAAATATTGAAACGTAGTACTACATTTAAATGTAAAGTACTACACTTAATGAACAGTTCAGTACAACACTTTTCCCTCCAAATAACACATAAGAGTATAGTTGTGTATCCTCTCTCGTCCCTTTATGGCAGGTATATGAGGGATATTCCACCCCTAAACACTAGGAAATAAATGTTTTACTGGTAATTGTAGGCAGAAAATTAACTGTTGAGTAAAAATTTCCTGGAGTTTTTAAAAGTATTTTGTCACATCAAGTGATCATCCCTTCATATTATATAGAATAGTTCTAATTTTTCATATTTGGTCAAATTATCATCTCATACCATCATAATTCTGGAATGCTACATTCATTTAAATGGATTTAACTCTCAATTTAAATGGAAGTGAGATCAAAATTTTGCCTAGAATGCATGTTATGTATGCAGTTTATCTTAAACTCAAACCAGCTGAGAGTTTGATAGGCTATAGTGGCCAAAACTAGAAACATATAAGTGCTATAAATGAGACGGAATTGAAATTTTAAACTTCATAGTGAAAGCCAGCTACATTGATATGGACAACAGCATAAGAATACAGCAGGTGCTGGGGTGGGGGAGTGGGCTGTCTCATACAGGGCATTGATGACTTCAGGTTGCAACTGTTGCAGCAGTTGTATAGTTGTGGCAAAAGCTGTTTTTTACACCCCTACCCCAATCAGTTGCCCCTGTTGCCCTGCCCTAGTTATGCTACAAGATATGAGTGTTTTTGAAATACTGTATTTATCTAGGAAAATTCATCTCAGGGGCAGGATTTGGCATATGGCAAAATCCTGCTTTTAGTTAGATTAATAACTGCTGCAAAAGGTATATAAAGTGAATCGCAAAAATGAAATGAAACCCAGGAAAAAGTGTTAAAGGCTTCCGTATGTGTTTTTTTGGTTTTGTTTCTCCTCTGTGCCTTGGTTAGAATGACTTGGTCCCACCCACAAGACAGATTTCAATTGCTGATTTCAATTGCTGATTTTAATAGGGATTAAATCAGCAAACAAGAAGGGTTAATTTGAATATTTTAATCTTTTGTGCTTTAACTTTTAGTTATTTTCCTAAAAATGATTGGTCATTCTCAAAACACTGAATTGTAACTAAGTGTAAACATTGCATTATAACATGGGCATCAAACTCATTTAGCTTCTCTGTCTGGATGATTAGTGTGGGCCCGGTTTACAGGCCAGATCTGGAACACAGAGCCATGTCAGTCAAGAACTGCCCACCGGGCCAGAAATTTTGGTGGTGGGGCAAGTGACAGCTGTGTTAATTCCTATGCCCTCAGAGACACAGCAAGCACCACTCATTCTGGTGCCAAATTTCTGACCTGTGAGCAGCCCTGCAGATCAGATGACATGGTTCCACAGTCTGGATTCAGCTTGTGGGTTGGGAATTTGGTGATGGATGAGCAGTGGCTGCTGCAGGTCTCAGAGTCTTGCCAAAGTTGCTGATGCTTGCCCTGCTGTCATGGGGCAGTCCCACAAGCCAGATGGCATGGCTTCATGAGCTGGATCTAGCCCACAAACCTTATCTTTGAAACCTTTTCACCACAGATAGATGTAACAATTTTAGCAATATTACAAGATACTGTTAATAAGCTGCTTCTTTTTAAAGAAAATGTTTGTGTTCCAAGCCAAATCAGCCAAATCAAGTCCAAATCCATGAGTCAGTCCAGAACCATAAGTGGCCCTACAAACCGGCAACCATCCTGTATCCCCACCAGGGGCTTCAGATATTTCCAAAGTCTTTTGGCAGGCATCCTACATGCAGGCCCAAACCCGGAGGCTTGGGGTTCGGATGACCCCAAGTTTTACCTGCCCTCAGCGATATGACCACAAGAGCAAGCTAGGGAGGAGCCCCTTATTTAAAAAAAATGGGCTTTAAGTGCCGACACCTCAGTGGGTACTAAACCACGCCAGAAGAACAGTTATCCCTGGGAATGCTTAAGGAAAACTCCCTTCATGGACCCAGATACATAGTGTTTCCCCTGCTGTAACAGGCAAAAGATTATGTGATACTGTTAATAAGCTTTTTTTTTCCTTGGGAAAAAAAAATATATATATGAGTTATATATATCTACACTCCGAGCATCACTCCACAAAGAAAAATCATAACCCATTACAAAAACTGCACCTGCGCAGCCCGCACACCCATACAAAGCTGTTATTATGCAGCTGTTTCCTCTACATGATTCAAGTGTGCAAGTAGCAATACAAGCATATTAGGGCTGTGTGAAATTTTGTTGGCCGTTTCATTTCGACACTGTTTCGACTCATTTCAAGGTCAAAACAGCAAAATCAAAATGAAACAAAGGGCTGAGAAACAGCCTCGAAACAAAACGAGGCTAGTCTAAACGTTTTGAAAGTAAAAATGTTTTGACCATAGCGTTGGGGAAACGAACTCAGCTCAGCTGGGCTAACTTCCCATCCCCAGTGTGATCTAGTGCTGGGGATGGAGAGGCAGCCCAGCTGGGCTGACTTCCCACCCCAGTGTGATCTAGCACTGGGGATAGGAATGGGCTGACTTCACGTCCCCAGCAAAACATCAAAACACCATCGAAACAGCCTCTCTGTTTCAATGGAACAGAACAGAATGGAACAGCTGTTTCGAATCGAATTGAAATTCAAAACAGAATGTTGTTCTGTCGAACCACCGAAACTCAAGGCGAAACAGAACAGTGCTGTTTCACACAGCCCTAAACCATATTAAAATGTCTCCAGCTTTAGCCATACTTTTTTCAGGTTAGGGTGAGTTAGCTCATTTGTACTGCTGTAGTATCATGTAGATTTTACAGGCATAACAGCTGTTGTGTGCTCCTGATCAGTAACAGTACCTCCTCCTTTTATGAAGTAGCTAAATGTATGTTGTCCATATCTGACATCAAAAATGTATGCTGTGGTTATGGGTATATGAATGAGTTACCATGAGGTATGCCTGGGTGTGAATTTGCATTCACTTAAACAGCACTTAATTTTTTTTGATTAGTTTAATAAAGCTACCTTAAATGTTTCAAACATATTTTTAATTGAAAACTGATTTTTAAACATAGGAAGTGTTGTTTTCAGTAGTGAATTGAACTGGTAGTTTCAGATTACTAGGTCCTTCAAAATTTCAGAATGAGCAATCTTTTATTTGCGCACCCAGTCTTAATTTATAGATTGGAAGAAAAATAAAAGCTTTCTGCTTGTCCCAGTCATATCTGATGCCTTAACTTTGAATGGCCCAGTAATTAAATATAAGTAATTGATTGAACTAAAGCAAAGAATGTATTTTTCTGTACTTACAGAAGAGCCTACCCCTGTTAAAAGCTAGTTTAGCATTTCATCAACTTTGGGTTCAGGTGCTTATCCAGTGACTTTCCTTCATTCAGTGGTTTAGCTTTCTTCAAAACTTCCAGAGCAAACATGAACTGCTTTACATGTCTTGCAAAATATATATTTAAAGTAAAATAATATAAATTTAATTAGCCTATAGTTAATTTATATCTGAAATTAGGCTGTCATAATTGTAAATTTAGTTGATAGTTCATTTTTTAAAAGAAAAATGTATTTAATTTAAATGTTAAAAATCCAATTAAAATATTATATTTTTATCATTTTTGCCTACAAGCAACTATATTGCTTAAGAAATCCTGGACACATTCTATAAAGAGTTTGCTAGGTATCATATTTCATACATTTTTTTGTGCTTTTTCCTTTTTTTTTTTTTTTTTACAGCCACCAAAATCCATTTTGGCTCAAGTTCATCTTCATCATAAGGTTCCTATTCATACCATATCTTTCAACTGCGATGATACGGAGGCTAATAAATTTTTGCATGAATTGTCTACTGAGACAGGTGGACGGTTTCATTATTATAACATTTATTTGAGGGATCCTGAATCTCCAGAGCCAACTGTGGTGAGTAGTTCAAATTAAATATGAGAGTTGGATTCTTCATGGCATATGAGAGACAAAAGGGCTTGCAAAGATACAATTTGGTATTGTAAGTGTACTGGTAAAACAAGAGTATAATAATTTCTTTCCATTCAGGATTAAAGCATTTTAAAGTACTTAGTCTGCAATTTCACAGCAACAGAATTTTATTAAGTCATATCAAAACTTTTCAAGGTCAAACATATACCGCTGCTGCTAGTGTAAAATCAGTGTAAAGGAGATATTTAGCTCTGGAAAAGATGCATGCAATTCCTTGCATCTCAAAAAGGAGTTAAACTGGTTTACAGCTGGATTAAAATGAATCTAAGATTTGTACGCTAACAGTATTGTTTTAATTAATGAGAGCTAAAGTGAATTTGAAGCCCTAAAAGTTTGACGTACAGTTGCCATTGGGGAGACATGTGTAACCATTACATTTATAAAGTAGCACTGACGCATCAAGTGTAACTAACAAGCTTAGCCTAAAAATCCCCAATAGTAAATTTCCTAATGGATTCACAGTAACAGTCATTTTAATTAAAGTGAGTGCTCTCAGTTAATTAATTCTCCAAACTCAAGGAGAAGGGTAAGCCAACCCAAGTCTACAATTAGGAACAAGACAGTAGTAGTAATTTTTGAATTTCACAGATAGTAAGTCAGAGATGCTAGACTAGAACTAACACAATTTAAAATATTCTATAGGAGGTACTAGATGCTCTAAGGCAGGGGTGTTTAACTAATTGAATATGGACTGTGGAGCTTCTCAGGGGCCAGATCCAGACTACAAGTGATAGTGGCAGCATTAATCCACACAGCTGTCAGAGCATTGTTTCGACACAGCTCTGAAACTCAGTGAGTTGACAGCACTGCCATTTCCCTCCCTTTTTCCTCTGCCACCAATCTTAGTTATCAGGAGTGATTCAAACTCCAGATTTTGATGGTGAGTGAGAGGGGAATTAACTCCTTGGACTCCAGAGCTGAGCCGAAACAGTGGAGATAAATGCTTTTATGGTAGCTGTGGTGATGAGCCCTGTGGGCAGAATCTGGCTTGTGGAGGTGGGTGGTCCATCCCATGAGAAGCCATGAGAAGCCCTGTATGCTGGATGACACTGTTTCTCAGGCCTTTTGTTTGACACTTAAAGCTGTGTAAAACAAGCTTTAAGTAGGATGGTGAGGGTTAAAACATTCAAATAGACTCTTGAGTCATTTCAACCAATGCAAAGAGTTTTTTCATTAATTGGCAAAACCAGATCAATAGCTGAGGAAAATCATAATCTTATGAGATGGGTCTTGACTGCTGCAAAGCAAGGCTGGCCAGGCTTCTGCTTCTACAGCAGGGGGTTTCTTCAGCAGTCCAACAGACGCACAGTCTGGTGGGTATCCAGTCAGAGCTTATCTAACCTTAGAAGTTCTCCCAAATGCCCTCCAGCCTGTGTCCAGTATTTATAGATGGATGGTAATCATAGTCTCAGTATTCTAAGGAATGATCTCTGATTGGCTTTATTTAAAGTTCTTTGTTTCACTGGAACTTTCAGAACTGGATTAAACTAGATTTTTTACAAACCTGGAAGATGTCACAATTGGGATACATATCCTGCAAATGCAAAAAGGGTGAAGGGAAACAAGTTTCTTATCTTCTTCCATTCCTTATTTATACTGGTCTGTTACTTCTTCACTTTAGTTTATGATTAGGCATGATTTGCATTCTTATATCTAAGCATCTACTGTTAGCAAGACGATAACATTCATTACATTTGGTCCTTTTCTCTAATGTTAATAGAGTTAATAGATAAGTAAGGTTGGATAGTCCCTTGTTTTCCACAGATTGTTGTCTAAATATAAATGTGTTTCTACTTTTTACATATCACAACACTCCCTTTAGAGTAGGGTGTTTATTTATGGTTGTCAAGGTGGGCACTTATATACATGATGGGGGTTTAGTCCTCAGGGTCTTATTCTATGCCCCCTGGATTGAAATGGCAGGGCATAGAATAAAACCTGGAGGACTAAACCATTTCAATTTTTTCATCATGTTATAGTGAGGGGCCTGATCCTTTTTTTTTTTTTGAGCTGGAGAATGCCCCTGAGCTGTGGGGCCCCCCAATCCTTCCCTTTGTGGTGGTGGCACCCCGTGATGCCACCCAGACAGGCTGCTAGCAGGCCAGGTGCTGCCCCAGCTTGAAGGCAGCACCCGGCCTAATCCAACTTTTCACCCAACCCCAAGCTGGGGCAGCACCCGGACCACTAGGAGCATAGCTGGGCAGCCCCAGGGACTACTGCCACTGCAGAGGGAGGGACCAGGGCCCCTGCAGCTCGGGCTGCTTGGCCCACAGGCAGCTCACCTCTCAGCTGCAGGAGAGGTGGGCAGGCTCTGTTGAAGGAGGGAAAAAAAAAGGATCAGGCCCCTTACTACTTCTGCCTTCAGCAGGTGCATGTGGCTGGCAGGATGCCTGGGGCTGCCTGGGAATGGGCTGGGTTGCCCCTGGGGCAGTGTGGGGAGGCAGCAGGATGGCGGCTGGGTTGCTGGAGGCCAGAGAAAGCAGATGGATGGTGCACAGGGTGCTGGAAGCCTGGACAGGCTGCTGGCTGGCTGGGTGCTGCCCTAGCTTGGAGGCACCCGATTGAACACTTCCCCAAGCCCACCCGGGATTCCAGCACCCCATATACCATCACCATGGCCTTCTCTGGTGGCCAGTATACCCAGCTTGCCCCTGGGCCAGTGCGGGGAGGTGGCAGAAGTGCATCTGAGTGTGCTGGTGGCCAGAGAAGGTGGTGGGGATGCTGCATGGGGCACTGGAAGCCCGGATGGGCTTGGGAAAGCATTGGATCAGGTGCCTCTGAGCTGGGACAGCACCTGGCCAGCTAGCAGCCTGCTTGGACTTCCTGTGCCCCATACACCATCCCTTCCACCTTCTCCAGCCACCAGCAAACCCAGCCATGCCACCTTTCCACGCTTCTGCAGGCAAGCCAGCCCATTCCTGGGCAGCCCTAGGAGTCTTTCCACGTGCAGGAGCCTGCTGAAGGCAGAAGCAGCGAGGGGCCTGATCCTTTATTTTTGTGGAACATGCCTGCCTTTCCTGTGGCCGGAGGGCAAGCTGACAGCTGCATTGTTGCAGTTTGCAACATTACAAACTAAGCTACATCAGGATGTATTTTAGTTTGCAATGATGCAAACTCATTTAAAATCCCCCAAACATTTGCACATCTACAGTATGATGCCATTAAGTCACACAAAGTTACATTTTTGTCACATGTACATGGTAATGGCATCATGTGTACAAGCGCCCAGTCTCTCACGTCTTACAGGTTTTACCTTGAAATGTAAATGTAGTTTCTTGCTTTCCTGTTTAAGTAAGCAGTTTGGTAACTTTCCCCTGCTCAGGTCTGTCATGTAGCTCCAGCATCAGAGGGCCCATTACATGTAATGATTAATGTCAGTTCTCTGCTAACTACATATGTCACAAATGTCAGTTCTGTGCCAACACCCTACTATACGGAGTCAGTTTATGTGATTATGTACATGGCAGAGAGGTGGGAAGGATGGCCACATTTTGTGCTTTTGGCCTAGTGCGGCAATTAAGGTCATCATCAGATTTGCTACCTGTCCCAAAAGAGTCAAAATCAGCTCACTTCAAGGCTATCTTTATGGCCTGTCATTTTGCCCTAGCTTTTGGAGAGACAGGTATGTAATAAAGGTGGGATTTGTCTCATGGAACGGTTTGGTATTCATCTCTTACAGGTTACTGATTTATTGTGTTAAGGTTTAGGGACTCTACTGATCTTCTGTTTCCTTGGGCTTTTATTTAAATTAGAAGTGGTAAGGTCTAGGATGGCTTTAGCCCCCTTTCCACCTGCCTTTTTATATTATTCTTAATATAAATGGGCAGTACTAAAGAATATCTAAAGGACAGAAATGAGATGGTATGAGAATATTATGCATATGTTCATAATGGAAATGTAGGAAATTAACAATGAAGAATGAGTAAATGAATGTGGCAGTAGTTTACATCAGAAATGATTTATGGAAGATTCTCCACTGCCTTCTACTTTGTGTCTGTGCAGAGTTGGTTTAAAATTCTATCGTTCTGATCTGGCAGTGTTTTGTACCCAGTCCACACACACTTTTTTCAGGTAGAGGATGACACCCAGGCCCATGTCAAAACTAACAACAGATAAAGCAAAGCATATATAACTAAATCAGATATTCTACTGTTTATAATATGGCTATATAAATTTCTTCGGACCATATAAGAGCGTTTCAAAGGGACAAGCGGTTTGCTAGGAAATTCCAGTGTTGTTCTTCTAATTAAATCTAATTAAATTGCATGTGTTGTATTTATCCTGTTTTTGCCATCAGTTTGCTTATTATACTGAGAATGTGAGCAGTGAGGGAGTCTGTAAAGAAAATAATTCAGCACATCCAAAACATAATCCCATCTTTCTAGTTGAATAAATACCCAAACTTACTTTCAGAATTTGGATTGTTTCAGTTAAGAAATGAAGCATGTGTTAAATGTAATTGCAATAATGCATTTGCTTTGTATTTTGTCAGAGTGAAGATATATACCTTTTAAAAAGAGAAATTGAACAGGGGAAGAAAGATCTAGAGAAAGTGAAGGCTTTCCATGCTGAATGTTTGATGATAGATTGGTGTAATGGAGAAAAAGAGCCTGAAAACAAGTATGTCCTCAACTGTCTCTATCCCTCAGGATGCTCTCTGGGTGACTCTGGCAGTCTGTTGCATTTTTTGTCTTGTTCCACATTTTCCAGCTGATGACATCCCAGAAACAGTTTCCATTTGCAAGGAGAAATTGAAAAAAAGAATCAAACTCAAACTATTTTATAGTAGGAAAAGAGGTGCCTGGGAAAATATATTTAAAAAATGTAATACAGTGAACTGGAATAAAATGGAATGCGATCAGGACCAATAACAAGAATCAGTGTAGGCCAGGGGTAGGAGCTTTTTGCCACCTGGGCTCTCTCCCAGAAGTCTCTTCCCTTTCCTGCTCCAAGTAGCTGACTGCCAGATTTCCAGCCTCTCTGCAGCAAGTGTAGGCTCATATGCTGCAGAGCAGCAGGCTCTATATAATAGAGGGAAACTTCGTGGAACTAAGGGGCTGTGTGGCATGGCTCTATGACACCAATCCCCCATGCTGGATCGGACCTTATCTGGCCTGAGTGCTGTAGGTTGCTGACTCCAGGTGCACGTTGTGGCTAGGGACAGACATTACACATAAACCCTTTTAAGTGATGAGAAATTGGTTTAAACCTGTAACAGAACAGACATTTAGTGCACATAAACAAGTCTAAAAATGGCTGAAACCGGTTTGAGATAAACCTGGTTGAATGTAGTATCAGACTTAACTGATTTTGGGCAAACCAGTTTATGCAATGTCTGTCCCAGATCAGGAGTATTTGCTGCCTCTAGCAGATGGGACTCTTGCTCTCTTTGCCCTGACTGGTTAGCTAAAATTTGTAGCATCTGGATGGAGCTGGCTGGGAATTTTTGTAACTAAAATGGTCTTTTCTGTGGAGCTGTTTGTCTTTGTAATTATACATCCATTGGACCAGAGAAAACATGAGCCATTTATTTCATATGTTTCAGTGCTGGGGCATAGAAGGCTGAAATTCAAGTCCAGTCAAGGTTGAAACCTGTGTGTGTGTGTGTGTGTGTGTGTGTGTGTGTGAGAGAGAGAGAGAGAGAGAGATCTTTGAAAGCTTTTTGGTTTAATTTGGAAAAGAAGTTTTTTTGAAATTGTGGAATTTTTCATGGGATCTGTAGATTTTTTTCCCCATATAGTTTTACTTACAGATTGTTCCCATTAGAGGGAGCTGTTTCTCTGATGCATTATAGTTTATTTTCAAGGAAAGTACATAAAGTCTTATTTTCCTGAACGAAGTAGGAAACAAACAGGAGTGAGTTCCTCTGGTCAGCAGAGAGTCTGAAGACTCACTCAGATCAGCACTTTCCTCAGACTGTTTCTCTCAGCTTTGCCCTTGGGGCTACACTAGGAGTGTGTCTCTGGCTACGTGTTAGCTTTTCTGCTCTCATCTCTGCCTGCTTCCATGGTGTTTTTGGTGTTCTTCTCCCCTATATAGAGCACAAAATCAGTCTTTGACTCACATGTGGGTTTTCAGACATCCAGGATATCACTTGAACTGCCTAACCCAGCCACTGCTCAGGTTTGCTTGGGGTTTAGTTCTTGGGCAGTAGTTATTGATTATTTTAGCTGCTAATAAACAAAGGGGAATGTAAGTGTTAATTCATTTAGCCAGAATATAATGCACAGCAACTACAACCATGTGTTTTCTCAACCGTTAGCATAATGGTACTTACCTTAGGGGTCGGACATACTTTTTCTTTTTAAGTGGTGATCTTTTGAAAACATATCCATACACTCATGCTGTTTGTCCCTGTGATTTCTGTGACATTCCAAGAAACTGGTGACCAAGTGATTCCTTCCCAAAAAAAAGCTAATTGGAAGTATAATACAACAAAGAATGAGCGTCTTTTCCAAGGCTATAACTAGTCCTTCCAAGTCCTGATGGAGGCTAATTTCTGGGCTACTGTAGGAAAGTTTGCTTTGCTGCTGCTGCTGCAGTTCCTGTTATGTGGCCAAACCTTGGATCGTTAGGTGTATCTGATGCCTTACAGGAGCAATGTATGAAGCAAAAAGAATAAATGATTATACTTAGTGCGTTTTTATACAATAATTCCAAATAAGAAAAAACACTTTATAAAAATGACTCCCACTTTCAAAACAACCCGAATAAAGGCCAAAGTTTGTGGTTAGAGATGAGAAGATTTATATCTTCTGGAGTGGTTTGAAGTGTGGTAAAAAAGATCAGCAGCTCCATATTAAAAGGCAGAGTGATTTATTTTATAGAATCATAGAAAATTAAGGTTGGAAGAGACCTAAGGAGGTCATCTAGTCCAACCCCCTGCTCAAAACAGGACCATCCCCAATTCAAAGCAGGTTTTAATTTTTATTAGCACTTGTGCAGGCATATTGTTTACTGCTTATTGATAGGATGGCTTACCCTTTCCCCCAGAATTCAGACCAGCTAGAGTTAGAACATTCTGGTTCCAGTAAAGAATAAACTGTTTACATATTTACATCCAGATGTTTATAACTGAACATTTTAAAGCAAAACTAACAACTTTTAAGCCACTCTGGACACTTAGACACTAGTAAAACAATATTAATTGTTGTCTAACATTTGAAATCAGTGTTCAATTTAAGCTTTATAACACTGGAAAAGTGATTTCTAATAAAAGTATTCATACTTTTGAAGGCATTCACTTGCTTGTTTTTTTTTCCTTCATCTGTTATGAACAGTCCTCACAAGCAGATTTTTACTACTTCATCTATAACCATGCACATCCAGGAGCTGAATGCTTCTCCCGCCAGTAGACCACAGTGTACATTAGAAGAGCCAACATTGACTGCACATCACCAGATACTAAATACATGGCAAACTTGTTATGACAGTCCAGCCATAAGGAAAAAGGCACTGTATGCAGGTAACTATCTAAACTGAAAGGTAGATATTAGAATTTTTTCATCAGCTTTGAAGTGATCTTGCCAAAAATAAAATGACAATTCTTTATCTTGGTCATAATTAAAGTTTGATGTTTTGCATGGAAATAATCTTAAATCTCTGATTTACTTTTCATGACTTTTTTGCATTTCTCTCCTCTTGGATACTTATAGTAGTTATTTTTACTATCTGTTGTGGTGTTTGTGTAGCACTTTCTGCAGTGGAATGATAAATTTTAATTATCTTGATTGATTTAAGAAAAGAAAAAAAAAAGCTATTAATAGTAGGGGGCTTAACACCCGCTCTCTTTTATTAATGTAAACAAAGAAATCATGATAATAGTGAAGAGCCAACATGTATGTTTTATTACTTATAGCATTCATTTAAAAATCTCACTTTTTGATTTATCATCAACTAAATTATTCTGTGAAGCAACATATGAGATCATTTGAAAAACAATTTACTTGGCTCATCTGGAAAAAAAATACTTCAGCATCTTAACCTTGGAAGATACAGAGAATAAATGAGTATTAGTTGAAGTATTTTTACATGCAAGACTTGATCTGCAGTAATACACTAGAACAATAGAACAGACGGTTGATACTTGAGAAGAATTCTGTGTTCAAGAACTGTGAGCATCCATTTGATTTGTAGATGAGTTGTTCCTTTGCCTTCTTCTGAACACTTGCAGAGCAAACAAAGACTAGTCTGCTCAGAACTCGAGGTCATGGAATAAAGTCTTGTAAAGGAAGTCCAGATGAGAAGATATCTCCTGAAAGAAAGGATTTTCACCTCAAAAACACACTGAACCCTGCAGCCAGTTTTAAAGGCAAGTAGCACAACTGTGTGAGGTGAACAATTTTTCTTTTAATTTGTTTGAATCTGGTGGTGCCACGTTTGAGGTCAGGGTGAATGAGCAAATTAACTTTTAAACTGCTGTCAAGAGGAGCCAGGACTGTGTTTAACTGACACGGTCAAGGAAGGAAGTCCAGTGGGATGGTAATGCTAAAATTTGAGATACTAAATTAGAATTAATACAAATGGAAAGATTAAATAAAATTCACAGATTTATAAATAAGACTCCATTTATTATTCTTCCTCTTGCAAGGAAAAATGGTCATGGTCTTAGTCATCTTGGAAATAACTTAATCTTCTTGCATGCTTTCTGTATACTGTACCTCTGGCAAGGTCATTTCCTACAAAAGAAGCGGAGAATACTGTGGAAGAAGTGGAGTTATTGTGGAAGTAGTGGAGATGTGTTGGCAGATTTTACATTTCTTGTCCCAGCATGGTCTGGATCCATTCGGTGTGCTTCTTTGGGGTGTTTGCACTCTGCACTGGGTCTCATGTTTCTATCACTAGTCTGCTGTTGGTACCCAAAATATCTAGTTTAAAGTTATTTTGAATATATCTAACTGAAGTGTGGGGGTAGACATGCCCTGAAACTGCTGACGGAAGAGTTGAATCACAGGTTTTTTTTGTTCTAGGGTGACTATCTAAGAGATGCTCATTTCAGTAAAAGAAAAAAGGAAGTCATATGTTAATTGTTGGTTGTATTAAAGGTCAAGGTTAAAATTGACAGCTCTAGCCTAAATCCTGATGTGCTGTTTTAGAAAGAAGCCCAGCTTCACTATATGGGTGCAGACAGAAGTGACAGTTTTTGGCTGATCTGGCCACAGAAAGCGATCTATATCTGTGACCAAACACAAGTGCATGGCTGCAAACAGCTTAAAAAATGGCCGATCGGGTGAAAATCTGAACCCTCATTGTATGAGGGGTCAGATGAAGATGTTTCAAAACAGAGCGTCTTCTGTGACTTCTGTGCTGTAATATGCCAAGGATCTTAAGAAAAGCTGCACTCAGCACATGGGGATAAGTGGTCAGTGAAATGAAACTAATTTGTTAGAAACTTGGATATGATATCCAGCAGATATTCCTTTTTTCCAATGACTTTTATAGCTCTGGGCTTAATGCTAAAGGTGCTCTCATTTGTTTTAAAACCGTATACATGATATTTGAAAATGTGTTTGACATTTATACATCTCACGGTTTCTTGTCTTGTTTTTAGTTCTCTAGCTACTACTTTTGATTAATGAGCTCTTTATACAGGTTAACCTTAAATGAAACACAGCTGGCCATCCAGCCAGGGGCAGTATATTATGTTGTTATGGTCTGAGTTAGGGAACAAACTGGTGAATCTTTCTTCCTTAGTTATAGGCTATAAATCAAAATGAAGTTTAAAATAATTTTGAAAAGATTTAAATTAGTCCCTATCTACTTTTTAAGATTTCACTGTTAATTAGGTCTTGGGAGAGTGTGGGTGGGAATGTTGTTAATATTGATCAAACACCAAGACTGAAACACAAAAGAGATTAATGTTCACAAAGAAGCTTAGCGGCTGGAACAAGCATTATTGTACAACCCTCATGGTGTTTCTAATAGGTTAAGACAAATTGTTGAGACTAATTGCTACAGTTGTGTCTTGTGTGCATGCAGAATCATTATGTGTTGTTTTGTAAATGTTTTCCCACAGAAATGAATACCCAAAAGGTGACAAAAAGAACATCTAAAGAGTATGTACATAATATCACAAAAAGATAAGTGTTTATAATTTTTTTCAATGATTCCAAAAGTACCAAAACTGTTTCTATCTCATGCTATATCTTGAGGATTCTTATTTTCAGTTCTCTAGATATCTCTTCATCTCATTGGCTAAAGACTCATGGTTTAGTTGCTAGGCGACTCACCATAATGGATGCCTTAGCCCCCACAGCTGTTCCTCACAGTACTAAATACATCCCAGTTCTGGAAAAACATGTTGTTTCTAAAGTCTTTGATGAGGTAAAGCTTTTGTTTTATTTTGGGACAGATCTAAAATGTATTACTGTTTTTTAAAGTAATTTTATTGTTCACTCATATAAATATCAAACAGTTATTTTGATTGTGATAAAGTGCAAGTGATGCTCAGCATAGAGATTTGATAGTGTTTTATTTGCAACAATCAATAAGAAAATAAAACTGCTAATTAATTATGTTTCTTGCAGAGGGAAGGAATTGGGGAGCTTAATGCTGTTTGCATTTCTTGCCTTTTTACCAGTGGGTGGCAGCATGCAGCCACAAGGTGTTCAGATTTTTTCTGGCTGGTAGCCACTAATGATATACGTTAAATCACTGGAGAGCTAAATTTTGGGTTTCGTAAGCTAATTGGAAAATTGGTCATGCTTTCTTATATCAATGAGTTCTCAGGGTTTACACATGTTCACTAGAGTATGTTTAAAAAGGAACAGAATAACATAATCTAGGGTCCAGGCTTGATAGGTGTTCAGTGCCGCCTGTGGGCATGTCTACAGAAGATGCTAAATGCACAGTAGACTAATTCGACTGCGCATTAGCATAGTCATACTATTGCACTAATGTGCAATAGAATTAGTCTACTGTGCAATAGTGTCACTAAAAAAGCCTGTGCTGGTGCGACTAGAAGGTGAGGGGAGCGGCAACCACTCTTCCTTGCCTCTTCCCCAAATGAGGCATTACCTGGTGTTGTGAAGAGAAAAGGGGGTTTGTTGGCTCCTGTTGGCCTCCCCCATGCCTTCCCTGCTGTCCAGATGAGCAGCAGGGTGGCAATTTAAAAGCCAGTGGCTGGGAATGGGAACCCCACTGCCAGCTTTTAAATCGCTGCCTTGCTGGTCAGCTGGGTGGCACACCAGCAAGGGGGAGCCAGTCTTGGGGGCTTTCCCCAAGCCCAGCTCCCAGCCACCAGCCTTTAAATTGCCATGCCACCACTCATCTGGGCAGCAGAACAGCAAGGAAGAATGTACAGGAGCTGGGAGTCAGGTTGGGAGAGCCTCTTCATGCCCAACTCCCAGCTAGTAGATAGCCACCCCCCTCACTCAGCTGAGTGGCAGAGTGGCAAGAGAGAGCTGGAGGGGCTGGGAGCAGGTGTGTAGAGGCTTTTTCTAGCTTAGGGTTACCATGCATCTGGGTTTTCCTGGACATGTTCACTTTTTGAGTCCTCCAATCCGTCTAGGCAGTTTTTTGGAATATGAATTAATGTTTGGTGCTCTGCTCCACTGGTGGGAGTGAAGGGAGGGTGACTAGGGGCAGGGGCAGTGCTGGGGTAAGTGGGCTGTAGCAGGGCAGGGGAGGCACCTGCCCCTCCAGTGGGGGAAGGGAGCAAGGGGCCCTTTGAGGGCAGCGGGGGGCTCCATGGTTGGGCAGCCCCAGGAGATGCTGCCTGGGGGGATGTGGCCAGGCTGCCTGCCGCAGTGCTGGAGCCCCAGGCCTAGGCAGCCTGTGCTACAGGCATCCCCTTGTCTTCCCTCCCACCTACTCTGGAGTCGGATTCACTCAACCGTTGCCTGCATGAATCAGAGCTGCCATGCCCCAACCTGGTTGGTACAGGGGCAGCTGGCAGCCCCCTCTGGCGGGGCTGGTGGGATCAGGGGGCTGTGGTTTGGGAGTGAGGAGCACTGGCAGGGCTGATAGAAATGAACCCCTGTACACAGCTTATTTTAAAAGGCTGTTTGCTTTCATAAGGTGCTTCTTCTGAACAGCATTTCAACAGTAATACCAGCAATTACAATTGAATACTTATATCTTAATGTCTAATTTTCATGCAGAAATTTCCAGTTTAAAAGTATTAAGGCATTTCATGCCTATAACTGGTGGCAAGGTATGACCCTAAGTTGGAGCATGTGTTTGTCAAGCTCTGGTATATGTGGCACGAAAAGGAAAGACAACAATCTGGACTGCAGACAAGTGGAACTAACAGAATTATCTCTATTATATGTGGAACCCATTCTTCTTTTGGCTTTATGCTGGTATTTCAGGGAAAAACTGAGAATAGGATGTGGCTTTAATTATAAAGCTTGATCAAGAGTGATTAACAGATTGCATTAAAATTTTGGCTGCCCCTATACTTTGAAGCGCCCTTTTAGAATAAGTATTTACAACATTTTTGGAATCAATTCTTCTAAGATATTGGGTTTTGTTGTGCAGAATAGATATGTTCCTTTGTTTACTTAGAGGAAGGCATTATTTTTGATTTTCACCCTTTGCTAACATTGATGCACTAACAACAGTTCTCTCACCTTGGAAATAAAGAAGAAAGTAAAAAGGTTACCATGACAACTCTTCATTAATAAGATGCTGACCTGCTCTTTTAATTTCTGTGTGACCTGACAGTTTCACCTGAGCCATTGCAAAGAGATTAATTATTACACTAACCATCAATTTCATATGTAGAATAAAATTTTAGGTGTTCAGCTAATATTAATTCTCTGTACCATATTTCCAGAGCAGTGCTTCTCTACTGATACTTTTGTGCATCTGCTCCACAGATTGCATGGTCTTTGATAGAGCTTTATGAAAAACAGAATTTATAGATTAGTAACTGAACCAAAAAACCACTCAGAAAAACACTGGTTTCAGGTTGACCCCTCCCCCACAAATTTTCATCTAATATGAAGTGATTTTCCCTTTTTACCCATGTTATTTACCTCTCTCTGTTTAAAATTCAGGTCAATTATGAAATGAAATCACCATTTTGAAACAAAATGTTGAAATTTTTTTTTTTAAATTGAGATAAAACATTTAACCTTTTAATTTTTTCCTTTACTACTTTAAACTACTTACCAAATCTGACCAGATTTTGCAAATAATTGCCTTCCTGAAAATGCATTTTTGGTTAATTTCCTGTTCCATGAAAGAGAATTCCCTAGTCATAGTCTCTAGAGTTTAATGCCAAAATAGTAAATATATTTTTGCCAATTCTTAACATTCCACTTAGAATATTATACTCATTCAGAAATATTATTGAATATTTATAAGCTGTATAGTTGGAGTGAAGATAGTGGTAGAAGATGCCTTCTGCAGAAAAACTCTTTATACCTTTGGGCTGAAGGTTCTCAAGCTTGAGTGTCACAGGAGATCTCAACTGTTTGGTGTAGAATTGGAAAAACTTTTTCTATAGCACCAATATCAATTTCAATTTTATCTGGATTGGAAGTGGGAAAGGCATTTACTGCACTAGAATTTTGTAGAGAGAAGTAGAATTGTGCAGAATATGCTTTGATATGTTCTTAATACAGTGGTACCCTTCTCCCATTTCATATTTCTTTCTTTTTACCATGCTTTAGAAGAAAGAAATATTTTTTCCAGCATAATCTTGCGTTGGCTTGTTGATTGAAAGTCCATAGGAATTTATATTGGGTGATATTGTATATGGATTTTTAAGTGAGGGATGGTCTCTCTTTTCCTACTTCTCTTTTAAAGATCAGTTATTTGGGTGCCTGGGTTTTCTGTTTCATAATGTAATGTGCATTACCTAGATAATGTAATGAAGATTTTGGAAGACGTTTAGATTTCTAAAGAAGGAAATAGGTGCCTCTGAAACTTTCAAAGGTGCTTCATCAAGGATGGTTGATCCCAGTATGATTGTAAAAATGTCTATGTGCACTTGTAGGCACCTAAGTTCTTTTGAAAATCTGGCTCTTGCAATAGAAGTTATGGCATTTCACGCATATAAATAAATAAATTTCTTATTTGTATATTATATGCATCTCTGGAATAACCTGGTGCTGTATACAGAAGAATAACACAGTGATTTATTAAAGCAATACAATCTGTATTGTATCTGCCTGCATACTTTCTGTCTTAGCTTTCATTAGTAATGTTGAGAGATATTGTTTATTTTGGTTAGAAATAAATTGTAAAATATCAAGATTATTTTGTTTTGCCTTCCCATGCTTCATTTGCAGGGTTCCAATGTTTATTTTAGGGATCATATTTATATATAGGATTTCTGGAAATACATTGCAAGACAATTGTATCCTAATACTGAAACCCCATTAGGTTTGATAACTCTCATGGGACCTTGTGCCTGTATGATCACTTACATGAAGTGCTTTGTTTTTTCTTACTGAAGTTCTTTGAGACTTTACTTGGTTGTGTAAACAGTCATATATTCAGTGAAGTCTTTGCTTGTTATTGTTTTGTAGGTGTTCCCCCTTGCCCACATTAGCAATGGCAAGAAACAAATCACATTAATTAATCCTCAAGCAGTGAATCTTGATACTTACAAAGAGAAGCTGGAACAAGCAGTTAAATCTTATGAAAGGTAAGTCTTTGTTTCAGAAATTCACCACTTCTGAATTTAGAAAATCATCTGTTATGTCCTAATTCAGGGGTGTCAAACATGTGGTCCTGAACTGGTCAGAGCAGGTGTTGTGTGTGACATGGTACCTGGAGCAGGTGCCACATGTGGTGTACCTACAGCCAGGGCAGGCGCTACATGTAGCATGGCACCTATGTCAGCCAGTCTAGGATCTGCGTTGTATGAGCCCAACTGGACTGTTTCCTACGTGGAGCCTGTTCTGGATACTCTGGGATTGCCACTACACACTGCGGGTCCCATACCAGCTAGAACAGACACATGATCCAGCATACTGGGAAGGATGAGGCAGGTGCTGTGGTCCTGATCCAGTCCATGTGGCTAGATGAGTTTCACACCCCTGCTCTAACACATAGGTGGGCAGGAGCCTGTAATGATGCAAGAGCACTAATTTCTACTTTAACCCTGGGTGAGATGGGGGTTAAAGTTAGAGAGGTTTTGCTACTGTTATGTTACTACAGGCTCCTGCCAAAGCTCACAGTTACAGCATAACGATTTCTGCCTGCTCAGAAGCAGTAGCTCTACCCCACCACACCTTTTGAAATTGCTCCAAGGGAGCGTGTGGCCTTGCCCTTACTAGATGTGAGTAAAAGGTTATTCAAAACTAAAAATAATGTTCATTTTTAGTTTTTGTGACAAAAAATTGCTTAAACTTTGCAAAGTATTCACCATGCAAAAGCCAATATAATATAATACACACACACACTAACTTCCATTAAAAATGATTTTTTGAGAATCCAAATACCTAAATTGCAAATCCTTGAAACTTAAGTGTTTAGAACAGAAGTACTGATAGATACTTAACTATAGTGATCTAGTTGCAATATTGCAATAAAATTGTTATCAGTCTGAGCAAACATTGTTTTGGAGGATCGGAAAGTGAAAATATTCCTGGCCTAAATATCTGGATGCCACATTTTCAACCTGTAGTGGATGTTAATTGTCAAATTATCACACACTTTTCCAGCTGAAACACTAACTCAGCTGTGTCTTTTATGCTTGAATGCAGCATTACATTTCTGGTAATTAAATTTGAAAGAACTACAGGTCAGCTCTGTGAATAGTGATTGGTCACAAATTTATTTTTACAACTATAAAACAGACAATATGTCAGAAGTTGCAGATCTGAAGAATGAAAGAAACTAGGACAATAATGGCACCATATACAGATTGACTATTAGCACTAAATTAACAGAGAGGAAAGTGATGATAATAGTAATTTCATGTGTGTACAGAAGGAATAGCCTACACTGATGGAGAAAAAAAACTGGGAGCTACAAAGTGTGTGATCTTGAATAACCAGAGGCATTTACAAATGAGCTAGATATGAAAGTGTAGCATTTAGAAGTGTGAAATAGACAGATGAACATGCCAAGACTGCAGATTATGAATGAACTAAGTAATTTACATTCTAAAGGCGCTGGTTCTCGTTTCCCTTAGCTGATGAACTGAATCAGTCAGAAACCCATGCTCAGAATCCAGTTTTGTGTAAGCTATTTCATCTTAAATGCAAGAGTTCATTGCTCAAAACTGACAAAAGAGTAATGTTTGAATAGGTCTGAGTTTTTCTTGCAATGTGCTGGAACCAGCTTGTACATTTGGAAAGAGCCTATAGTGGAGCTCAGTTTTCTATCTTGTGGATGGCAACTAGGATTCCCCTAGACAACCCCTAGAGTGCAAAAAAAATGAAATTGTTATGTGATGGTTTAATTGTTTGAATGCTGACAGTTGATGATAAAACTGTCAGATTAAATTGACTTGTGGAAACGTGTATGTCAAAAAAAAATACAAATGCAAGACAAAAGGCTATAATGTTTTTAAAAGATAACAGTATGTAAGAGTGCTTCTGGGTAAGTTTTATTTTCACTACAGTGTTTTTTCTCAGTAGCCAGAGTAGAATGGAGTGGAATGGCATGATGTCCCACAGAAAAAAGCAAAATCATGAACATTGTTTCTCAAATGTCTCATGCTACAATTTTCTGAAGCTGTTTACTTGGGGGAGGAAGTGCTTAAGTTGTCTGATATTAAATCAGCCCAATTACTTAGTGTAGCTTGCTGGGTGATGGACTGAACTTTCCATTGAAATCCCTACAGGAAACAGTAGTGATTGCTACTAATCCTTCAGTGACCCTGAAATAATTATGTTGCTACTGATGGAAGAAGCTGTTTTTCCATCTCCTTTTTCAGATGATAATTTCATAGTTGAATGATAAGGATACAGTTTGTCATTGTGGCACTCGCAGAATACAAATTATTGCAGACATCTTTAAAACTGTGTGTTCTTTTCTTTTATTGTTGTTATGATAATCAGCTGCACTCTGACTGCACTCCCTCAGAAATTGTTTTGTTTTCTGTAATAGGCGCCTCAATCTAATTACTTGGAGAGCACTATCTCAAGAAGAAAGAGACAAGTAAGCTGTCACCTTCTTATGTTCCAACTCAGGAACTGAATCTTTAGAACATACATTAATACAATAGGAGCTAAGGGACATAGCACCTTTGAAAATCAGATCATAAATATTTAGCATACTTTTGCTGCTCTTTCTATAGCCAGCTTCTTTTATGTTCAAGTGTCTCTTGTTTCTCCCTGACTGGTAAACATTTTATGTGACAGAGTAGTATTTACATCTTAGGTTTTATTTTATGACCCACTGGGTTTGTCTACAAGTGCAATTAACTTGAAGCAATAAACTCCAGAGCAATTTGAGCTGTAGTAAACTTCCCCCCCCCAAGCCACAGAATTTACGTGTGTGCCTAGGACAGCAGTGATTTGAGCTGGGGCAGAGCAGTTTATGCCAGGGCCATTCAGCCCTGGACTCTGGTGGTGGCATTGGTTGGTGGTAGAGGGGCTGTGTTGGGGATGAGGGTGCTGAAAGTGCAGAGCTGGGTGGCTAAGCAGCAGGCAGAAATCTGGCCTCTGGCTGGCTGGGTTGACTGGGTGCAATTTATGCCTGCGGTCAGCGTCTACATGTGCATTTAATCACAGTTAATTATCCCAGCATAAGATAGTACTGTTCCTGACAGTACTATCTTACAGGGTGTGTCTACATGAGATGTTTACTGCACAGTTGACTAATTAACTGCACAGTAAATGTCTCAGCATCTACACATGTGCCTCTATTAGAGTGCATGAAACAAATAAACTCTGCTGCAGGGTAGTGCTTGTAAATTCAAGTACTACCCTGCAGAGTTTTTTCATGCTCAGCAGCACTCAATGTGTTGCTGTCTGGGCGCACGTGTAAACAATGTGCTCAGGAGCTTCCCAGGAGCAATAAGCTCCGCAGGTTATTGCTGCACACTAATGGTACATGTAGATACCTCCACTGTGGTGTTAATTAATTTACTGTGGCCTAATAGCATTGCATGTGTAGACAGTGATGCTTTACTTCACAGCTAATTAGTCTACTCCACAGTTAACTGCATGTGTAGATGGGCCAGTAGGTTTCAAAATGAGAAGATTCCCTGTTCTGCTAGCTGTTTGCTTTTATAAAAAAGAATATGAATTTACTTATAACACTGAGAAGCACCTCAAGGGTGTGTTTATACAAGGCAAATACACCTTTATCCTTGTATAACTATATCCACATTAGGTTTGTCCAACTTTTAACTATATTGGTTATTAGACTGATATAGTGATAGAAAAGCTGTGTAAATACAGACCTGACAGCATTGAATCTAGCACCTACTTAGTTCACAGAGGTAATAACATAATTAACTAATTAAAATTGACTACGAGCAAAAATTTAAATAGGAAGATATGAATGAAAATTGAGAGTTCTTTAAGAAGAGTACATTAGAGTGTCAAATAGCCATGATTTTGCCATCAAGGAAGAAGAAAATTCTGTTTAAAGATTAGTTCCAAATTGACCTTGTGGGGAGCTAAGTCACAAGAAACAATACAAATTGATCCTGCTTGGTGGCTGCAAAACTTTTCAGGTTCCTAGATAATTTAGTTACCTCTGTTTCTACCTGAAAGAACCTCAACATGCCTAAACTTGGGCTGCTATGCATAATCAGAAATTATCTGGATTGGCCACCTAAGTACTTACCTTGCTTAAATTCTAGTTCTGCAAGATACTTAACCCCCACTTAAATCCTTAAGTGAGGTTATAGTGACTGTTTGACGCTGAAAGTGTGTATACAACTCATTACAAAGTGGCCAGCTGCCCACTTCTTTGCCCAGTAATCTAGTGGAAATATTATTTGTCTAGGAAGTCAGGGGTTCCCCCTTCCTGAGGTGATTCAAACTCAATTTCCCACTCCAGGACACTTCCCCATCCACAACACTATGGGTTAGGCTGGGTAGGCCCCCTCTGCCCTTCTTGTTGAAGCCAGCTCACTGGTCAGCCAAGAGTGCAAATGTTATGGGGCAAGTCAAGAGGTCAAGCAAGAGGAACTTTGATTCTGTTGTGAATGGATCAAGGCATTCCCCTGGGAAAGGTGGGTCTTAGATTCTGGCCCCGTTTGCTAGGGTTATTTCATTTTTTTTTAACCGATGTTGATCAAATGAAAAAATGCATAAATGGTCTATGGATTCAGCTAGAGGAAGTGTATCTTTGTGGTTCAGTGAGAAGGATATGCCCCTGGGATATTGAGACATGGTTTTTAAACACCTCAGAGTGAGCAGGGGCAGGTATCTCTTGGCTATTGGTCAAAAGGCAGCCACTGCCATGATGAAAAAATGATTGCTTTATACTGAACTCAAGCCTGCCGTCAGGTAGGA